GTCCCAAAGAGGAAAGTGGGGCAAGAGAAGGAAAGCCAGTGGAGTGACGTAGGATGACTAAGTTCTAGAGATCGACTATATCATGTGATTATAGTTAATCAGACTGTGTTGTGCACTGAAAATTTGCTATGAGAGTAGATCTCACATGCTCTCACCACAAAAAAAGATTTGAAAAGGTGACTATATAAGAAAATGGATACATTAAGTAGTTTGACTATAGTAGTCATTTCATTATGTTTGCGTAAATCAATACACCTTAAATGTATACAATTTTTGTTTTAAAAATAGAAACATAAAAATAATTTTAAAAAAGAAAGCCAATGGAAAGAAGACAGACAGAAATTTCTGTTTTTATGAGTAGTAGAGAAATCAAGAAGAGATTTAAGAAGGAAGAGAAGCATCATTTGATATAACCAGATATGTGTTCATTTTGTGCTTTATAATAGAAATTACCAGAACAAACAAGATTATCAGCAAAGTACTGTGATCTATTAAAAATTCAGAAAAAATATAACAAGTGTCTCATTATTAAATAGGAAAATAATTAAATGCCAAATCTGTTTGAAAATTACTGTAGCTCACATTTGTAGTTACAGCAAGTTGATAAAAAGTTCTCCTAGGATTACAGTCAGTCACACAGAAATTTTCACAGGGTAATGCAACTTTGGAGGGCTGTCTCCAATTCAGGGCTGGGGCCTGTCTCAGATTTGAGGATCTTGAAAAATTATATTTATCAATATGATCAGTATGTATGGAGGTGATGATCCCTAGGATTATTTCATAGTAACCAGATTTGTAAGAGTCTGCTGTGTAAACTGTAATTCTGATTTATAAATTTATAGTGGTGGATATGCTGATGCTGACTGTTTGTCATCCGCATTCCACACGAGAGTACCTAGAAAGTGAATTAGGAGTCAGAGTGTTGCCAATGAACACAATCAGAACAAAGCAGGAGAGAGCAACAACTTACATACATCAGTAGAGCAAAAAAGCTCTGTGGTTCTGGTATTAAAACCAATCCCTTCTTGTGAAAATCTAGTGAAAGTCTTAGATTCAGTTTATTTCCATTTATAAACACGTATTTTAATAGAGTTCTTTTGGTGGACTGGTGTAGATGAAAATCTGTTGTTTTCAATTCTACTTTTGTCTGAGAATGACGTGAAGCCTTCACATAAAAAATTACAGTGTCTGAACTTATGGTTACAGGCTGGTCTCTCTACCACGATTGTTACCATTAATCATAGGTTGTCTTCGGCTCTCTTGCCTTGCCTATCACTTCCAACTTAGGTTGATAAACAGGTGCTATCTGGGTATCCCACTGCCATTTATTCTTTTCATCTGTATCTCAACACAGTTGTGTCTGCTTAGTACTTCCTCAATGCTAGCAGACTGGCTGGCATCCAGTCTGGACAAATTGCTGATCTTTCCTGCCACTTAGCATTAAATAAAGCTTCTAAGGAGCATTGGATAAATAGCTCAAGAAGCCAGATACAGCATCTAAATATTTGTTGACATTTCTTAAGTATACATAGTTTAAGGAGTGCTACTACCTTAAAGAACTTCAAATGGGCCTGGAACCTGGCATATAGTATCCTAAACTTAGGCCTGAGCTATACATAATTTTGTAAATTATTAGAGGCAAGGCCATTTGAGTCCTAGATGACCAACTTACTCCACTGTGATTTATTGATTGTTGTCCCTGCAAACCATAGGATTAACATAAAATGGGAATAAATAATTAGAGTAAATACTGTGGTACCATATGTAAAGCCACATACAAAATACATAGCCATCTTCTGCTTGCCCTAGTATTTCTTTCATCTCCTATGAGCTTCCTGGAATCACTGATTCCTAGTGTCTGGAACATGATGAGGTATTTCAAAGTATGATGATAATGAATAATTAAGTAATTAAATGTACCTCATGGAAGCTTTGCTTCCCATCATGGGACTTAAAGTAACGCAGTGCTTTCAGTGTAGGAAGCCTGATTGGAGTTGTCTATTCCGGGGTAAAAGCTAACTCAGTCTCTGGGATGGCTGGAGAGGAGTGTGGTATTCAGTCCACAAAAAGATGACCAGAAGTGTCTTAAATGCGAGCTCACAAGGATATAAGTCTCAGTAAGATTAAGATTGTCCTATTAATCTTTGCAGTCCATTGTGAGCAAAGCATCTGGTATTTATGGGAAGGGAATGTTACTATTTAAAAATGTGTTGAAAGAGTGAATGAGTGTACACCAAGTATGAAAGAAACAATGGAGAGAAATGAACGGCTGATCCCAGAAGTGGAACTAGTGCATGATGGTTGCATCTGTGTACAGTTACATGTGAAAATTTGTATGCAGACACATAGATATGTAAAAATCTGCACCACATAAATAAATATGATAGGTAAAAGTACACAGTGGAAGGATTATTAGCTTCTTCAAAAGATCAGGAAGGCAACTAAGACTTAGAATGATAGTATAAAAGAAGATACCAAACCTGCTACTTATCTCTTCCTTTTTCCTTTTACTGGGACCTCTGTGGGGTCATGCCTGGCAACTGTATTGCATTGACCCAAAGCCGTGAAAACTGGTTCAGCCTGTTTGATGGCAATGCTATCACATTTATAGAATCTTTATATGAGGAATTCAGCCCCTGGCCTCAAACTCAGTTATCCTGAAAAGGTTCAGTAGTGTCTGGAGGAACATAATGTATGCATCCTAGGAGAGAGAATTTTAAAGAATATAACTCAAACCAGCTTATGTTGATTTCTCCCTACGAGAGTATTAGCTTTTCCCTTTCCCATTTCTCTTCATTTTTTTTAGAGAAATGGTCATCAGTAATACATCTCTGAGTACTAAATGTCCAATGTCCACCCAGTGGTCTTTTAGTGAATATAGTTTGGGGGAAAAAAGCAATATTCTTAGCTGAGAATGCATGTATCAATTTTTATGATGAGTTGAGAGATTTTTGTAGCTTTTTGGTAGATATATTCAGGCTTTTGGTAATTATTTTCATCAGAAAAAAAGCTTATGTAAGACAGTAAATTTTGTCTGTATTTATACAACAAAATTTCTTAGTATACATTCTTAAAGAAAAGGACCTCCTCTATGATGCTAACTGCTCCTGAAACCATCTTTCTTCCAAATATTTGTAGAAACCAGTGATGCCCAGAGTTAAATAGTAAATGTATTATATGGATTATAGGGGGTAGATAAATAAGATTTCCTGGCACTGAAAAGAAGGGACAGTATACATAGAATAAAAGGTAGAAAAAACAAATGAACAGATGTATCCAAGTACAAAAGGGGCACACCACTGAACATTATGGTTCTAAAAATTATCTAAGAGAGCTTCCTTAGATTCTTCGAGGCTTGTGGAGAACATGCTGAAATAAAAGAAATTCTCTGAAAATGTAGCTAGGTGAAAGATACTATGCTATGATTATCATAAATCATCATTATCATCATCATTATTTATTAAAAGATGTATTCATCAAATATATTTTGAAAGCTAAGTACTGTGCTATATATTAGGGATATAATAATAAACAAGTCAGAAAAGCTCTCACCTATATCAGGTTGAGTCTTGTAAATAGCCAATTCTTTGATGAAATTTTAGTGGTTTAGAATAATTCACCCCCAAATATCTCTTCCTTTCGCCTGTCATAATGCAGATAGACTTTTTTTTGGCTTGTCTAGTTTCCTATAAAAATTGCAATAAGCTTTTAAGTAGCCATTCATTCATTCACTCATTTGTTCAAACAATATTTATTATTGTGACGATCAGTGCCAGCAAGTACTGTATGTGCTGGGAACCCAGGTGTGAAAGGTAGAGTCACAGCACAGGTAGAGGCACAACCAAATAAGCGGGCAAATACAATATGATCCAATAAGCCCTACTATAGTGATAATGACAGAAGGAAAATGAAGATTCAGGACACGGCACCTAGAAGAGATTGCAGAGGAAACATGGAAGAATTCTCTAACAATACACAGAAATATTATATTTCAAAGTAGATTAAATATATTTAGTTCATGAGTTGGAGATATGGTGGAAGTGAAGTATTACGTCAAGAGAGAAGCATGGAGGGTGGCACTGAGGGGGTGTTGTCCTTTGATATTAGACAAGTGACTCCTTAAAGCTTTTAGCATACAGCATGGGGTGAAAGTTGTCGGCAATTTACCAAAGGTGAACAGATAGAACACAGGGTAAGAATTTGGGATAGGGGGTGTACAGGACAGGCAGGGGAAGGGAGAAATAGGGCACTAAGTAATTAAAACATCTAATATAGAGTTTGTGGGGAATCACCACATCACAATTTGCATCGTGTATTTATTTACCCTAGAACTCCACAAAAACCTGTGTGGAGTAATAAGGAATTGTTCAATCTCCTTTAAGAAGTATGCAATTGTATTAGCAAATGAAAGCAAATAAATACAAATAGGAAGGGAAGCAAACCCACATCTGGAGGAAGATGATGAGATGGTGCTGGTACAGCATCTCTTGGTAACTAACTGAATGAAATGCATGGGATGTCACTGTTTTAAATCCCCCTCTGGTTCAACTGGCTCAGTTACCTGGTTTCATTGAATTTTACTTCATCACTGGCCTTAGCAGGTACGTGAGGAAGGGGAAATGAGGAGTGCAAAGGAAGAACTTTTCCAAGGATGATGGGTAAAATTAAGGAAGACATTAAATTTGTCTTTGTTTTGTAATTTTTAATCAATTTTGTAAGCAAGTGACTTCAGTGCCCAGAAAGAAAAGTGAGAAAAGGTGTATCACTATCTAACAAATCTTTCACATTACTCTTTGTAATCTTTCTTTTGGATGTTTAACAGCTTGTAATGACTATGATCTTGCAGGCACTTCCCATAAGCTATATATGCATTATTGATGAAGTTCTATGACTGGAAACTTCCATCACTGCAATGACTGTTGGAAAGCATAGGTTCGTTCATTCAAACTAATAATGCATAGGAGTTTGTCACACTTTTAATATATGCATTCTTCTTGCAGATGGTTGAAAAAGAAGGTTATCTTCAAAAAGCTAAAATTGCAGATGGAGGAAAGAAACTAAGGTAATAAGAGTTCTTTAATTCACTTTTATATAACTATGCTAGCTCCCCTTCTCCTCAATTTGTTTCAGTGCCATTGTTTGGAAAGAAAGGCCCTATAGTGCAAGACTAGAACATTTCCTTCTGCTATCACTATGATCAACATTATTTTTAATATGATTACAGTTTCCAGTAAAGCACTGTGTTTTATTTTGTTGCATAGAATATATACATGAGGTGCTTATTGTCTTCCTATGGCTTGAAATCTTAAAAACAGTGCAAAGCAATAAGATAATGGGTCTTCATTTCTGGGACTAAGAGATTAGGGAATGAACAGACTTATTTTGCAGTATATAAAAGTCTCCCTACAATACATTGGGAACATAACATTTTTAAGAATGGAGAATTTGAAATACATTTGTTGCTCAAATAAAAAATCAGTTAAGAAAAAAATAAAAGGAAAATAAAATCATCTGTAGGACAAAAAGTTAGAAGTTGCTGCATTTGGAGATGAGACAGAGTAGTTGAGAGAAATTAGAAAAAGTAATAAGAATTTCCTTGACAACAATAACAAAAAACTAGGAGAAAAATTTAAGGTTGATAAGAGGGTAGACACAGATGATAGATAATTTTTATACAAGAAGAATTTAGAAATAATCATCTTCATTTTAGAATTTTTTCCTTTCTCATGTAAGTCTTATTACACACTTAGATTTGTGTTATAGCCATATGCAAGCTGCAAAGGTACGTAGAAAGTGCTCACCAACAGGAGACAAGGCATTTACTCATGACTATTTTTAATAGTTAAAGTCATAAAGGATAAATGTACTAATTATCTACTCAATGGGACACTTATTAATTGTGTAATGAGATCCAGTACTAGACTGGAACTCTGGCCAATACTAGAGAATGAAGTACACTTTTGTTTGCTTGCTATAGTGGAGTAAGTATATGTTTATTTAAAAGAAGTAAAATTGGAGAAAACAGTCATCCATAATTCCACTACCTAAAAGAGCTATTTCAATTTTAAAGAACAAACTCTATTTTTCACCCATATTGTGTTTTTTTCTGGGATAGCAAACAGAGTCTTGAATCCTCTCCTAGGCTGTCCCTCTGCACTAACCCTGCAGCCACCCTCTCTTGAGAGGCCCAGGAAGGAGATGCACAGGAGATAAGGTCAAATGCAAGGCTGCTTTCAAAGACTGGGCAAGTCCATGCCCCAGTGGAGAACCTGACTTGACGTGATTGGTTCTGAAAGGGCAACAGGAGGGATTCTTTGACTAACCCAATCTATGCCTCCTCTCCCCTAGACTTACTCCCAATTATATCAGCTCATGGAAGAAATGTGGAGGGTGCAACAATAAATCTTCCCAAGATGAATAAGTTAAGACGCTCTCTTACCTTACCAGCCAGGTGGACAAAAAAATCCAGAGAGGGGCAGAAAAGGACTCAAGGACTTGTTTAAATTATCACTTCAACTTTTCCCCAGGGGTGGGTAGGAGAAAGGTGGTGACAGCTTTGGTCAGTCTTACCCTCCAGCCTCATGCAAGGAAGAGGAGGAGGTCCTAAAAGGAGCTCCAAGCAAATATGCTGCTCCACTGTAATGGTTTTGTAAAGTGTCCTTGCCTGTAAGCCATCCATAAACCATCCCGGTTAAATGTTTTCCTAGAAAGTGTTCCCCAGAAAAAGCAGAGGAGCAGAACAAGGCCTTTCCTCTAACCAACTCACAGTAATACATTTTCAGGTAGTTTCAATCAGTGTGTGTGCCATTTTGCATTTGTTTTATTTGTCGTTATTTTAATCAGCTTGCATACCATTTCTGTGTTCTAATTTAAATTCTTATAGACATTAGTTTGTACTCTGTTTTATTGTTACTTCAGTTTGCATATAATTATGCAGTCTTTCAGATCTTTTTCATTTAAAATTATATAAATTTTAATTTTCCTTTGTTTTGTTTTGTTTTGGTTTGGTTTGGTTTGGTTGGTTTGGTTTTGGTTTTGTTTTAACGTCAGGTGCACAGAATTGAGCTGGTTATACTTTTCAGTGTGTGGCCTTACAGTATCATCATTCTGGGCAAGACTCCTAGCTGGTTTTATTTTATTCTTAGTCTCCAATCTCCACTTCACCCCACTGTAGAATGTGTGTTCATCAGATATACTCTCCATATATTTATTTGGCTATGTGTGTGGCATCCTAGAAAATAGTATGTATGTGAATGTGTTCTAAATTTCATAAGCCTTTTGGGTTATAAGCCTCATTCTGTTTTGCACTACTTTCGTTTAATGTTAGTGTTAGGACATCTATCTGTATCTATACATTTAAAACAAGTTCATTTCTTCCAACTGATGCCCATTTTGCCATGTGTGGACACATTAAATTTTATTTACTCTACCTCTCAGGAATGGATACTTAAATTGTCCCTAACTCCTATCTCAAACAACACTGCAGTAAACCACATATATGTCTCCTTACAATCCTGTTAGGATTTCTCTCTGGAACATACACCTGGGAGTAAA